AGAAATGCTCTGTGCAGGTGGAAATGCTCTGTGCAGGTGTTAATCAAGTTAAATCCCAACAGCCAATCAGCAAGAAGAATAGAGGAAAGCTGCATGCCTATTGGTTGATGCCCTGCATTCCATTGTGATGACTCATGCCCAAACGTGGTAAACAAGGCACACTAACACAGTAATACATTTGCTATAACACAGCCAAAAAACTCAAATAAAACCATTCTAAAAGCCTGTATCACAATAATTTAAAAAACGCCTAGGGGTATTTGCCCACTGTACCTCCATACCAAATTTCAGGACCTTGGGCCCTAAAATGAAGAAGCTGAATCCATTTAAAAATGGCAGGAGAAGGAGAAGAAGAAGAAGAAAAAGAAACATCAGAAAAAGCAATATGGTTTCACCACACCACTTCGTGGTGTGGTGAACCCATAAATATTACTTACATTATCGGAACTGACCCCAAACTACGCACCAAGCACGCGTATCTGAGTATACCAGAAGCACGAGTGTAGATATGATATACACGTACATGTATTAGTAACTTTACAAAAGACATAAACCACTATGTTATTTACGATAAACACAGAACCGGTTTGTCGAATTGGACTGGGCTCTGCATACCAGCACATGGTGACATCCACTAGTTTATCTAGGGTTAACGGGGAGTCTTTGATGAAGAGGCTTAGAAAGCACCGGTGATTACATGTTGGAATAAAAAAAAAAAAAAAAGTAATGTGCCAGAAAAAAAAGGCGCATCATAAAAGTTCCCCAAAATCCCAGTTATGGAGTCCGCTGATGCAGCTAATTCTTGTATTATCACCCTTGGTTTATAGATGTTAATAGGGTTAGTCACCCTCTACTAAGGTTGATCGTAAGTACTAGTATTAATATTTGTAGTCCTCTAGGTTGTTTCAATACAAATATAGAGAGTCCTGTTTTAAGGTTGAGTTAAGTATTAATATTTGTAGTCCTCTAGGTTGTTCCAATACAAATATAGAGAGTCCTGTTAAACGAAAATATTTGTAGTCCTCTAGGTTGTTTGAAATGATAATATCGATAGTTAATAATGCACGGTCTCTACTGCGAGCGGAAAGTCCTATAGGTCGATCGGAAATAATGATACACGTTTTGTTTGTCGATGCAAACAGCGCTGGACCGAAAGAGATAACGTATTCAAAGTTAGGCCATGTTGTTTTGATTATATGGATGACATCCGCAAGTCAGTGCTAAAATATTGGAAAACGATACTTATGTCGTAGAGTGCTAAAGGAAAAGACAAAAATGTGAAGAAATGAAAATAAGGAGTCTATTAATTGCCGTACCATACCCGGTGTGGTTAGTCATTTGTTCATCCATGGTTCAGCCTTCATAATTATATAGATTTCATAATGAATTTTTAAGCCAATGATGGAGCTCAAAGCAGCATGTCTTAATTTACCACATTGTATGTTTCTTCTAAACCCTTTTCCAAGCAGATGTTTGGTGGTATAGCCTATTTTACTACTCATGCAACGCAGTGAGGGGAGACAGTGAAATTGTATCTTATCACTAAAAATGCCAAATATCTTACATCTGCTTGAAAATAATTCACTGACTACTCTGTATGCCCGACATTCCAAAACGAAATGTTCAACTCACTTTGCTGATCTGGTGATATTAAGATTCAAGATACACTACACAAAACCCATTCTTCACGCATGCTTCTTAAATCATGCGTAAATGGTCCGCTTCTTCGTTTACGCGTACATTTGTGGACGTTTGTTTAAGATGTGCTTAAAGATAGGGTTTCGTGTAGTGATAGACAGATAGTCAACAACTGTTAACAACATTTTGAAGGCCTTTTATTATTGGTCCACGTTTAAGCATGTAAAAACATAACACACACTTATAACTAGATATAAGCGAGAATATTCTACAGCACGCTAGGATAAATTTCATCTGTCAGTGAATATAAATCTGCTTGAAACATGCGAAGTCCGTTAATGTCTGATATCATCAGGATGTAAATTTGCTTGAGGTCTCTACTGTTTTACTCAATAGCATGCTTGCATCACTCAATAATTAAGAGGGGCAGGTGGTAGTACTCACTGCACCTGCGCGAAACTAATTAGATTTTTCACAGTCTCCTGTTCAAGTTTTCAAATGTTGCATCAGAATCTTTATCGACACAACATTTGAAAACTACATATTTCATCATTAAGTACATTACCCTGAAAAAGACGTTATTAACAATATGCACTGCGGATTTTGGATAGACCCAGTACATTCTCCCGACGTGTTAGTAAGAGGTGCAATGATGACGTTTGCTGCGAAGGCTGGTTGTGTACCAATTGTGACGTGTCCCGTGTACTGGTCACTCACTCCCTCAGTAGTCCCCACATGGTCATCACCAGGGTCATCAGGATGACCGCGGTTGGCTTCATGGTAGACCCTGCGCCCACAGGCTTGATGGTGGTAGACCCTGCCCCTACGGGACCTTCCAACCAAACAGAAAACATGACGTCACACTTCCAAGAAGCCACGTGACTAGCGCCACTGGGTCAGTCTATTGAATAATACCTTAATGACTGGTCGAAAACTTTAGGTGAGAACAAGCCTTAAACCTCGTGTTGGAACAAAAGTTAAATTTACTTTAAACATGTAAGTACCAACAAAGATGAACTTGGTAATACCAAAGATTATAGATAATAAAGATAAAGATAATAATACAGAATTAATTTGCTTTATCAGCTATTAGTACTCAAGCATTCCTAGGTTCCCAGGTCACCAGTATATTCATGTTATAAACCCACATAATGCACAATGGGGACAATGCACAATAAAAGAGCATGAACGCACAATAAAGTAACGTTCTATAGAAAGAGTGGGGGAGACCGAGGCGAGGAAGGGCAACTCACTATCACAGGCCAGCCCATCGGCATTCAGCACATAGCCGGCTCCACAAAAGCAGGTAAAACTTCCCACAGTGTCCGTGCAGTTTCCTGCGCATCCTCCGTTGTTTGTGGCGCACTCATCCACATCTGCAACAAAACAGATCAACTAAATTATATATAACTTGCTTTATTTGCTTTAACAGAGAGACATTAGGAAGGAGAGAAAATACAAGTCATTACCATAACTTGAACGTTCTGAAACAACAAGTGTTTCACTTATTTGCATCATTCTTATCTTGACCTGTCTAACTTTTGTTCCTTTTTGGACTTCCAAAAATGTGTCCTTACTAATTTGCATATCAATAAATAGTTCGTGCTTATAAACCTGCAATTCTGCTAGTGTCACGGACAAAAGGTAGTTGGTGCTACCTGAGACGTCTGACCGTTTCCAAAAGCATTCTAGTTGCTTAAATAACTGTTTTTGACGTATCTAATTACTTGAATGTCTAACCTTTATAAAGGTACCTACTTTTGATTTTAATTTCCAGTATAAGACCTTGAAATGTTACATAGAAATTGTTGAAAAGGGCTGGAGTTGCACAGTCAAAAATGTGGGTAAGTCCCAATTCGTGTTGGAAATTACAGTTCAAGTTTTTTTTTAAAGACAGCAATACTCTTACAACGTTTGTACCGCCATGATATTCTATCATAGTTGACAACGCCATACAGCTAACAGCCCATGACGATAAAACAATATGACGCTGCTAACCGTATCCGTTTTGGCCTTGATCGCCAGTAACATTATCGTTGACATTTGCAACTGCATACAACACGATGGTCAGATTTGGGCCCAAAAGTCCCACTCCGCTACTATAGAGATCGAATCCCCCGAACCCGCGAATCTTGTTCGATATGACGTCATTCGAATAGAGCGGGCGTTCGATCTGGGGTTAACCGCGGTCATTTACAGTAAAGCCGCTACAACCGGCTACTTCAAGCCCTTTTTTACTTGGGAACCACTGAACAGGAAAAATCCACCTTTCCACAAATATGAACCGTTTTCAAAACATTACATCTATGCCGTGATTTTATTGTGGATATGTAACATGTAACGAAGCTACTGCCGTCATCGTGGGTGACCTTGAAGGTCAGAATTCTTGTTGACGCTGTTATAAAATCCAGGTCCCCATATCCAAGTGGCACAGCATGCGTGCAAACATGGTATTTTAACCATTCCCAAAAATCGCTCAAATTACCTCATTGAGGGCTTGTTTGGAAGAGGAACGATTTCCGCAGATTTCTGTCTTAGGGATTTATTAAATATGGCCGCGATTATGAATTATCGGTATTTAAAGTTAAAACACTGCGTTTTTAGCTCTTCTTTTGACTGTAAGTCGAGTTTTAGTTAAAAAATAAAAAAATCCTAAGACAGAAAGTTTAAATTTATTGTAATATTTCTAAAAATCCAAAAATCTAACCTTATTTTTAATTTTCGGGGCCTCTTAAAATCAGTTGTTTGGTTCTCGTGAACCCTTTTTGAAATCCGAAATTGATCTCATTTGGAAGCAAATGTACACAAAGTGGAGGAAAGGCAGTGCAAGAATAACATTTGAGGTAAACAAAATCACTTATTACATTTTATTTTGACGAGTATTTACTCTCCAATTACTTTTGTTTATTTTCAAATTTTACCCGTTGTCCCCTGGGCCGGCCTGGGACTCCCGCGCGGCCACGTTCGAACACGCTCTGTAACCCGATACCTCCCTAGTAATGCGACTTTTAGCCTAGCAACCGACCGCCGTGCAACCTTGCGACATTTGTGTCAGCTCAAACCACCTGATAGCATTTTAACGAACATTGATTAATTTTTTGGGGGAAAAAAAGGAAGGGACAGAGGAAGGACAACTCACTATCACAGGCCAGCCCATCAGCATTCAGCACATAGCCGGCTCCACAAGAGCAGTTAAAACTTCCCACGGTGTCCGTGCAGTTTCCTGCGCATCCTCCGTTGTTTGTTGCGCACTCATCCACATCTGCAACAAAGCAAAATTTACTTTGCTTACTTTATTTGCTTAACCAGAGAGACGGAGGGAAGGAGAGAAACAACAAATCATCATCATAACTTGAACGTTCTGAAACAACAGGAGATTCACGTATTTGCATCATCCTTATGGTAACATGTCTAACTATTGTTTGCTTTTGGACTTCCAAAAATTTGTCTTCACTTATTTGTATATCAATAAATAGTTCGTGCTAATAAACCTGCAATTCTCCTGCTTTCCCTTAGTGTCACTAACAAAAGATAGTTGGTGCTACCTGAAACGTCTGAAAATCATATCCAGTTGCTTGAGTAACGGTTTTTGGTGCATCTTTTCACCTGGATGTCTAACCTTCATCGAGGTAGTAAGTTTAAATTTAATTTTCATCACAAGAACTTGCAACGTTACATAGAAGTGGCCGAAAAGGGCTGGAGTTGCACAGTCGAAAGTTTGGGTAAGTCCGGTTTCGTGTTAGAAATTACAGTTCAAATTTCTTTCCTAAATACAACATCACTCTCACAACGTTTGTACCGCCATGATATCCTATCATATTTCACAACGCCATACAGCTGACAACCTAGACGATATAACGATAAGATGTCGGTATCCGTATCCGCTTTGTCCAAGATCGCCAGTAACATCATCGTTTTCATTTGCAAGAGCATACAACCTTGCAACATTTGTGTCTGCCCAGACTACTTAATGGCATTTGAACGAAGAGTAAAGTAACGTTCTTTCACGAAATGTAAGAAAAAAGTGGGAGAGACAGCAGCGAGGAAGGGCAACTCACTATCACAGGCCAGCCCATCGGCATTCAGCACATAGCCGGCTCCACAAGAGCAGTTAAAACTTCCCACAGTGTCCGTGCAGTTTCCTGCGCATCCTCCGTTGTTTGTGGCGCACTCATCCACATCTGCAACAAAACAAATTTACTTTACTTACTTTATTTGCTTTAGCAGAAAGACATTAGGAAGGAGAGAGAATACAAGTCATTACCATAACTTGAACGTTCTGAAACAACAGGAGATTCACTAATTCGCATCATCCTTATCTTGACTTGTCTTACTCTTGTTTGCTTTTGGACTTCCAAAAATTTTTATTCACAAATTTGCATATCAATAAATACTTCGTGCTTATAAACCTACAATTCTGCTAGTGTCACGGACGAAAGGTAGTTGGTGCTACCTAAGACGTCTGACCGTTTCCAAAGGCATATCTAATTGCTTGAATAAATGATTTTGGCGTATCTAATTACTTCAATGTCTAACCTTTATCGAGGTACCTACTTTTGATTTTAATTTCCATCATAAGGCCTTGAAATGTTACATAGAAATTGTTGGAAATGGCTGGAGTTGCACAGTCAAACATTTGGGTAAGTCCCATTTCGTGTTGGAAATTACAGTTCAAATTTGTTTCATAAAGGCAGCAACACTCTTACAACGTTTGTACCGCCATGACATCCTATCATATTTGACAACGCCATACAGCTAAAAGCTCATGACGATAAAAGGATAAGACGCCCCAACCCGTATCCGCTTTGGCCTTGATCGCCAGTAACATCATCGTTGGCATTTGCAAGAGCATACAACCTTAGGACATTTGTGTCTGCCCAGACCACCTAATGGCACTTGAACGAACAATAAAGTAACGTTGTTCTACAAATTTTGGGAAAAAGTGGGAGAGACAGAGGCGAGGAAGGGCAACTCACGATCACAGGCCAGCCCATCCGCATTCAGCACATAGCCGGCTCCACAAGAGCAGATAAAACTTCCCACTGTGTCCGTGCAGTTACCTGCGCATCCTCCGTTGTTTGTTGCGCACTCATTCACTGCAACAAAAGAGATTCTGAGCAGTTCTGATTTCAAGACTAATATCTAAGCATTAAAAGTTTACCAACAGTCTGTTGACAACAGAAATTAATAAAACATTAAGCTTTTTACTTACCTTGTGAGAAGCCAAAAAAACTGCTATAACTGCCATACCTGAAAAACAAATACCACTTCTTATCCAGCATGTTAATATTGGGAACACTAAAGATATAAATGGAAACCATTTATACACTATGTATTGCTATAGTATCTTGCTACGAAGCAAATTGATCGGCTTTCTATGAACAGTTTGTAAGGACCGCACGTTACTAACGCTCTAGTGGTGACTCCGTTCTGGGTGGAAGCTTGGTACGACGGTTGCCCCGGGAGTTTGTAGCCCGTAACTACTCCGCCAGTGGTCGGGATTCTGCCGTCATGGATGGCAGCCTTACAGACACGGGAGTCCTTGTAGAGGAAGAAACAGCAACATAGAGGAAGAATTGATCTACATGTATTGATAATATTTTAAGTAGGGACCACCGTAACCGTTACAAACAGCGTTGATCACACTTACAGATGTGTAAATGCCAGTACCCCAGACAGATCCTCCAGTCAGACAGCCACCAGGGCAGACCACTCTGTGGTGGGGAAGGGAACAGATAAACTAAGGTTCAAGACACGAAGATGTTGTTTTTACATTAACATTTAATAAAAATATTAATATGTCGCACGGGTCATAACAGTGCCATCAAAATAGCGGAAGGATGCTTTTAAAACTGTCCCATTCTTATATTTTATTGTTATCGTAGCTTATTATTATTAGTCTGATGCTCAACTAAATTCTCGATCAGGGAGAAGTGAAATACAGTACTGTTGGCTTACGTAAATGTTTGTCCGGTGATCTCCGTAGAATCTGTGGTGCAGGTGATTTGTGCTGAAAGGAAAAGGTAGATCCTCTATTGATATGCCAGAACTGTCATTCGAAAGTCTTATCTTAAAAAAACTAGCCTGTTGTCCTGTTTTGCATAAATTTTATTACTTAGCTTCAAACACTACCTATCATAATTACACAACGTAAAACTGAGAACAGCTCTTGTTAGATACACGGGGTGTGGTATTCCAGAATTTAAATATTTTAATGCTATTAAATGTCACAAGATCAAATTTGTTTAATAAATACAGCATCACTCTTCAAACGTTTATACCGCCATGATATCCTATCATATTTGACAACGCCATACAACTAATAGCCCATAACGATAAGTCAATTAGACGCCCGAACCCGTTTCGGCGTTGGTCTTGATCGCCAGTTGCATCATCGTTAACATTTGCAAAAGCATACATATATAGCAACCTTGCAACATTTGTGTCTGCTCAGACTACTCAATGACCTTTGAACGAACAATATTTGGGAGAAAAAATGGCAGGGACAGAGGAAGGACAACTCACTAGTGACACTATCACAGGCCAGCCCATCGGCATTCAGCACATAGCCGGCTCCACAAGAGCAGTTAAAACTTCCCACGGTGTCCGTGCAGTTTCCTGCGCATCCTCCGTTGTTTGTGGCGCACTCATCCACATCTGCAACAAAACAGACCAACTTAACTTACTTTATTGTCTTCGTCAGAAGGACTATGAAATTGCCTCGCCGGAGTGTAGGGAACTGCGGATTTTGCGTTATAACTCTGGAAGGCATGATTCGACGTCCATTAATTTTGGCAGGCAGATTACCGCTGTTGAGGCCAAAGTCAAGTACAAGTTTCGGCTTCGTGGGGGGTCCGTGCGTTACGTTAGTGCACCTTTTGTGTTTGTGGCTTGTTAGCAAAATAACTCAAGTATTTGTAAAATGTTGATTATAATTCTTGGTGTGGTGCTTACTATTGTCAGGACCAAGGTTAAGTTCGTTACTGAGCTTCGTGGGGGGTTTCGTTGTGACTACAGGGGGCATTTTGTTAATTTTTCTTGTGAGCAGGATAACTTTTGTATGTGTGGATGGAAGTTAAAGAAATTTGATAGGCATGTTACTGTGATGGTCTCCAAGATTGAGTTCAAAGATGAGAGTCGTGGACGTCGTTATGTCCCCGTAATAGGACCTTTTGTGTTTAGAAATCCCCCACCTACATCTGCTTGGAGACAGCCGACAGCTGGATATAGCCGGGGAACCCCATAATGGGATGGGATCAAATGACGTTACATTGAGGGATTGTACTATAACTTCAGCAGGGGAGGATA